GACGAATAAGGTACATGCGGGTATGTTGCTAATTTGGGGGGGGTGAATCAGGAGAGGGAGAGATTGGGAGCTGAAGGTAGGAGGAAGTTGAAATAAGACTTGTTTTCCGGTTTGTAGTTGTATCGTGAGAATTCTACAGGAGCACTGAGCATCAACAATCAAGTGAAAAGTATCATTTATTACTACACCCCAGTCGACTCGAAGAGAGGATACCCATAGCAAGACAACCCAGTCTCCAAACCACACCACCAACAGCCAAAATGCGCCTCTTCTCTCCGCAGAGTGGTCTGCTCACTCTATCCTACGCAACCCTAGCCCTCAGCATCCCCCTCCCCAACCCCACCCTCTTCAGCTCAAAAAACAACATCTTCCTCACAACCTGCACCACGCGCTCCATCCTCACAGACGAGACCTCCTCCTCCGCAATCCTCTACGCCGGCACCCCCTCCACCACCAACCCCACCGCCATCGGCACCGTCGCCTCCGCCCGCGCCATCCAATGGGCAGGCTTCACGCGCCGCGTTACGCTCGATGGCGCCGGCGTGTTCGAGAGCAGAATCGAGCGAGGCGCGGATGCGCTTCCCAAGAGCGAACTTGCGGGGTATGCGACGTTAGAGACTAGCGCGGTAGCAGGAGGGAAAGAGGAATATGCGTGCTTTAGGGATGGGGAGGCGACGTTTAGGTTTGTGGGGGGGATTTTGGGTGAGGAGACGACGGTGTGTAAGACGGAGTTTTGGTGTGCGAGTTTGCCTGCCTAGAGGGATTGGGGTGTAGGAGATGATTGGACAGGGGTGTTCGGAGTGTTTTTTTTTGGGCTGAGGGGAGTGGTTGGTAGGGTGTGTCAGTAGGAGTAAGCAAATTGGGTCAGTGAGCAGTGCATGATGCTACTTTCATGGAGTGTTGCTTCGGGTTGGCGTGTTGGAGGGGAGTATGATGGATGTTGTTTATCAAGTTCCAGTATTGAGGACTAGATATCCTGGTTACTTTTGTTGCTATTCAGATAAAGTTTCGATCTCCCCACGAGTACTAATCTACACGTGAAGATATACTTTCTGAGTATCCGCCTTTTTGGTCTAGCGCCTTGGCATTTGAGAGTCCCTGACGCTTACTATTGCACACTTCACCACATAGACTACTTCTCCGTATTTGTCATTTCATCTCCAACCAGCAGCACGCTGTCCTGAAAGACGAAGATTTAGAAACGGGTTTACGGCATCTCGTCGGAAGGCGTTTACTCGGCGCGCCACTGACTCGTCTCCCGTCTTGGCTGTCTCGTCCTGTTCATCTCAATATCTCTAAAATTCTCATGCATAGCCACCGGTGTTCTGTCAGCATGTGGTAAGTATTGGATTTTCTGCATGCATACTAGAGGGGTGAAGATATCACCGACGGTTTCACACAGTAGAGGCGTATGCTGGGGTGCGGAGTACTAATGCCTTCATATATTACCACATTTATTACCCAAAGATCGGGGAGCCTTGAATATGGTCATTCAAATTACTGGCCAGGGCGCAAGGCTCGAGCGTGTAGTAGCTGTGATGAACTATGGCAAAGTCAAGGCTGTTCACGAAATAAGGCCTCGGTCTTGGTAAGCTTGATAACACTAGTGGCAGGCGCATTAATTTGCTGTTTTCTCACTAACCCCTTCCTGCACCGTTCTTCTGATTTCCAACTGCACCCTACAACAGTCACCATCAATACTTTCTCACACCACAATCCCTACAATGCATCGATACAAACGCGGTAACAACACCTTGTGTCAGCACGTTCTGGGCTCTCGGGTGGTCGAAAGAATGTTGTTTCCGGGCCGCAGTCTCCACAAAAACTTTTCCAATCACCAATTTCTCCGCTGCCAAGAGGCGAGCCCCCACCCGTCCCTTGCCGGCTCCGCCCACCATGGACAAAGCTCTACGTTCAGGTTCTTCAGTGGCCCATTCAGATAGAAGGATTGAAGCTGTGCCACCGTTGAGCGGCAAAAGTTAACGGACATCTCCATAACAGTTATTTGGCCCCCATCCCATAAACCAGGCCTCCCATACTTAGTGTAAGATCTAACTATATCTATCTTATTTTACATGAGTAAGGCAAAAGAGAGAAAAATGAGAAGATTCGCCTCTCTCTTTATCTCCTCTCTACACTGCATCTTTCCTTTTCTTTGCACTTTTTCTATTCTACCTCCAATTTTCGAGATGGAAGTAGAGAGAGAAGAAGTGAAAAGAGAAGAAGGAGAGTAGGGAGTAGTGTGAGATAGAGAAGGACAAGAATAGAGAGAGGTGAGAAGGGTTAAATTACAGCGCTAGATAGATTGAGTATAATGTTACAGATCTATCCTATCTAGCTATACATAGTGTCGCGCTAGAGAGTGCCCCTATCTCATTGGGGGTCAAATAACTGTGATGGGGATGTCCGTTCACCTTGGCCCCGTTAAGCGGGACCCGCATAGATTAATTTCATGATGGCTGCACTAGTGCCGGAATTTCAAGCAAAGGGAGCAACTACTACGATAGCAATGGGTGGTGTATATAAGGATATGATGGCTCGGACCTAGTCCCAGTACCCACGGGTTTCCCTCTTGCTTCACCAAAATCCGTGGCTCCATTCTATAATCTTTGTCTAATAAGATATACCGGCTCGCCACCATGCATCTCCCAGTTTTGACCTCCTTGCTCCTGGGTGGCAGTACGACTGCTGGCACCAATTTGAGCAAGCCATGGTCTACATGGATGGCTTCGTCTTTCTTGTCGAAGAGCCAGAACATTGACAACCACTACGTCGCCGCAGTCATCCACGAAGGCATCCAGAAGGCTGCAACCACACAGAACGACCGCGCCCTCCTGAAATATGCCTCTAACGCCGTGTCTTCCATCGTCGCAGCCGACGGTACCCTCAAGGGCTGGAACTCGACATTCTATACTCTGGACGACATCCGTATTGGAAACAACATGCTCTACTTCTGGAACTCTGAAGGCCGCAAAGACAACAAATACGTCATCGCGGCCAAGGGCCTTCGTGAGCAGCTCAACCGATGGCCTCGTACTCCCGAAGGAGGATTCTGGCATCGTGCTCCTGTCTACGCAAACCAGATGTGGCTAGACGGTATCTACATGGCCGATACCTTTTATGCGACCTACACATCCTACTTTGAGCCTCAAAACATCACCGCGTGGAACGACATTGAGCTGCAATTCGACCTTATCGAGAAGCACTGCCGCAACTCAACCACCAACCTTCTCTACCACGGCTACAGCGAAGACAAGTCAACTGTCTGGGCAGACCCCGAGACAGGTGCTTCCCCTTACGTATGGGACCGCGCTCTGGGATGGTACTTTGTCGCGCTTGTCGAAGTCTTGGAGGTCTGGCCCAAGACCCACGCTGGCTACTCTAAGCTCCTCAACTACTACAAGACGCTCGCCTCTGGCATCAAGAACGTCCAAGACACCAAGGGTGGATGGTACCTCCTCATGGACCCGGAGCTTGCTGGAAGAGAAGGCAACTACATCGAGTCGAGTGCAACTGCCATGTTCACTTACTCATACCTGAAGGGAATCAGGCTGGGACTCTTGGGCAAGGAGTACAAGCAGCCGGCTACCAAGGCATGGAATCTGTTGCTGAGTGATTTCATCCAGTTCGAGAAGAATGGCACATTGAGCTTCACGGGTACCGTGACAGTTGGAAGCTTGAAGGGCGATGCCTCGTATGAATACTACACTGGTGTCGAGAAGCTGGTCAATGATGGCAAGGGTGCCGGTGCCTTTATGTATGCTGCGACTGAGGCCGAGAAGGCCAAGTTGTAGATTCCGAGCCATTTCATGCCACTGTAAATACCGAAGAACTTTGTAAATAGTGTATATATTTCAAGAAAAACTTCTTTTTCTTTCTTCCATACCGGACAGGTTTTGCCGACATGATTCGTGATATTGCGTTTCTGCCAAGCTGCCTTCCCCGCTCACCAAGCAGTTGCCATCGTCGAGCCTCGCCATATCTCACCCACAGACCTACACAAAGACACTACATTTATTGTATCCAGCATCGAGTCTCGAAAATGCCTACTTTTCCCCAGCAATATTAGGGAGTCTTGCATTGAGCGGACAAGCCGCTACCCGGGCAACCCGTCATAGGCTGCCAAAAATAACCGACGATGCGGAGCCCCTAAGCAGCCCTGTGGGGCTCCAGCCACTCGCAAGCCACCTCCCAGCCTCAGATCACCAGCTGCGCCCGAAATGCTGGACGGGCAACAGCTAATCGGTGTCAGTGGCATGGTTCAGGTGACGTGGGCCAATGTCATATCATACTCGTATTTTCTGTGGATATTTCTTCACCGTCTGGCTGTCCCTGATTATTTACTTCTTCACCGACCCTTCTTTATAAATTCCCAGTACTACAACAAACATCACCAACCACCTAGTATATACCCGACCATTCGCTCGCTCATACATACCTCCCATACAACTTGTACGTCTTCTTCTAGCACACCATACCTTTTAAACCCCAAACAAGATAACTAACACCACCCTCAGAAATCCTAGCTACAAAAAAAATGTCCCTCGCACCCTCTGCCACATCCAACGCCCCGAGCGCCAGCTCCAGCGCAGCAGCCTGCAGACAAGCAGACTTCACCCAGTTCCCAACGGGCGACGCCGCCTGCGCCGTCGGCAGCATCAGCGGCGTACCCTCCAACACCACCGACGTCCTCTCCAAATGCTGCAAATCCGCACCCGTCGAGGAATTCAACGGCGCCTGCGGATACTACTGTCTGAGCGTCGAGCAGACGATTCGCGAGCTGCAGACGTGCTTCATGGAGAATGGAGCTAGGCCAGGCGATATCATGTGCAATTCGAATAATAGTGCTACTGCGACGGGGACGCCAAGTAAGACTGCTGGTGCCAGTCGCACATCTGGGAGTGGGGCGAGTGCGACGGGGGATTCGAAGGGGGCGGCGCCGGCGGTTGCAGTCAGTAAGGTTGGGCTGGGAATGCTGGGCATGGTGATTGTTTCGGCGATCAGTGGTGCGCTTTTGTGAGGGTGAGGACTGGTGGTCTGAAGGCATTTTATGGGCGTTTCCCTGGTCGGACTGAGTGATGATTTCAATGAGGGTTCGATTGTAGAATTACTAATGATATGTTTTTTTTCTATTCAATCCGCTTGCTTTACCATGTTATGCTGACGTTGTCTTTTTCATCATTGGCCTAAAAAGGGTTTTTGGTAGGGCTTATTTGGCATGATTTTGCATCTTCGTTGTGAACATCCACTTGAGTAGTTTTCATAATACTCCAATTTCGCTGTCTCTCTCCCAGCTCTAGTATGCAACGCTCGCTTTCTTCGTCGTCATCTTGCAGCTTGGTGCGGCCCTTGGAAGCATAGTGCGAAGGGACCATATCAAACTGGCTGGTGGGTTTTTGCGAGACACCCATGGCTTTGGCAAAGCTCGCTGGGATGATCTTCGGGAACAGACTTAGGATAGTGTTTCGCAGGGGCGGAAGGTTTGCGACGATGATGCCGACACAGACCTCGTTGATGCTGCAAATACTCAGATCAATAGCATCCCACATCATCTCTTGTGACTTGAGAAACTTGGTGGTGATGGGGATTTTGGCAACGGAAAGCCCGGTGCCACTGGTGCCATTTGTGAGCTTGCGCGTTGGGCATTGGTCTATGTTGGGTACTTACACTAGCGCCAGTAAGAAAACAATTCGGACGCCCCACTGCGTCTGCTTGCTGAGCTGAATATGCCTTAGGTACACGATAGGTGCAGCAGCATAGATCTAACAATCGTTAGACTCGATCTTGAAAGTCCATGTACACTCTACTCACTAAATCGGTAATGATATTGGATGCAATCTGCACGTAAGCCGTTGCATCACTGACTGCTTCAGGCCAACACTCTCCCTTGACACTAAAATCCCACCGCGAGTAGTAAGGCCGGCAGTACGCAAAGTGCAGTATAAGCATCATGACAAAGTTGCATAGCATTACGATAACAACAGATGTCCAGATGAGAATGCGATAGCTGCGTCCAAAATCTAATGCCATCAAGTAAGCGCAAATGGACGCCTTGACAAGGAACATTGCGTAGACGTTGAGACACTGCGTAATGAAAATCATATGTAGTTCGTACGATGTACGCCCTGGTACAAGCCACCATGGATCTGCCATTAGACGACCTTGACCACCTTTTGCTGCGAGTACTGCGTAAGGTACGCAGCCCAGGAAGTTTAGGATCTGAACGGATGAATCAGCTTGGCAGTACCGACGTGAACGAATAGACATACAACGCCTCCTGCCATGAGCCAGTCGCTAAGTCCTAGGTGTTTATTGATGTGTAGGCGAACGGTAAGTCGTAAGGCTGCTATTAGAGTACATAGAGTGGCCATTATGGATGCAGTAGATATGAGTTCGTTTCCTCGATTTGGCCATTCTTCGGGAGGTGATGATTTAGCCATTCTGGGAGGTCAAAAGAGGTTTGTGACGAGTAAAATCTGATTAGGGATTTCAAAGGGTACAGGAGCTACTATAAGGGGAATGCCACTCTTTGAATGAGAGGACGTATCAACGTTGATCCACATACATAGGGCGGGTGACTGTACGTGGGGGATCTCTTGGTCGGAACAGCACATATTGGGTAATGTTGGACGTGAAGTTGACTGCCATCAAATGGCAAGCCGTTACAGAGTCAATCACAAGCGGCTTCATTCTACCGTCGCTGTTGGACATGTATGGTTGGCGAGGCATGCGAGCCACGTCACTTCCTTCGAAACGCTCCGCTGAGCTTATCATTGTAATTGCCGGATCTAAAACATGTTCTGATATACATATTTCAGCCTTTGCAGAAATTATGTAAGGTCTGATGGTCCAGAGTTCAAGGTTAGATCATGCGATTTCGTTGGGCGATAGTTTTTCTTTAGGGGGGTTTGATCAGATCCCTGCTTATATGTGACTTCCGCGGAGGGTTGCGAGGTGTTTTCATTTGATCTGGTGTCAAAGGTGGGGACGAATGTAAAGTTATGATAGGACGACTCATTGTTACCGAAGTCGCAATTTCGACGTGCCATGATTATTGGCTTTTACCAGCGAAACAAAGTAAAACTTCGTCGTTGTATGCACTCACCCTGAAGTAGAAGAGGACATCTGAGTATAGCAATACCAATGCGTATCTAGTCAGAAGACACTGTCAATGTGGAGTATCGGAACACGTGATCGCACCCATACCCGGACGAACAAGGGTACTGTTGCATGTTGAAGCAGTCCCCATGCGCTGCCCTCATCAGGTATAGTCGACTGGCTGTGCCACCCATAGCATCCTAGCGAAGTAACGCTGTTCAAATCCTTCATGCTGTGGCGAGTTGCGTCCTCGGAAGGTGAATGAGACTCTTTAGCTTGGAAAGCTAGCAAACATTCTCAATGGTTGCGGCATCTTGCGTCAAATCATATTAGTACAGCGCATCGAGAATTTTATATTGTGGTCAAGGGAACCCAAGGAAAGGTTGGTGATTGGTATAACATCATGAACGAGACGTTCCCCACTAGTAGCTTCCGTTTCTGTTTGGACGCGGGAACGGCTGCGGAAACGGCAGTTGCCAGCCATCCGCGGGCCCTTATTCTCCTCAAAGCCGCTAGTTCTCAATCCTTCCTTTGATCACTTCTGATGTTGACAATGGTCATGACTAGTACAAGACTAACCCTTCAATCAAAGATGGATATTACCATCGGTGTGTTACCTCCGACGACGAAGATACGGCACACGCCACAGCCTAGAATCAGTCTGGCGAGTGCGGCAGTTGCATGGAATACCAAAATTCTGTGGCGATCCTGAATATCCTTCTACAATCAATGTATGGCCTCTTTATTGGACTAGTTCCCTCGAAGCTTTCAGGCATTAATCTTTACTGGCGCCCAGCCGCATTGGCAGCTCGATCCTTTTAGGCGAAAGATCCAATTGTTCGACTCGAAATGCGTTCTTTCGTGATTTTTTCGCTATTCGGGCTGGCCGCATCAGCAGCTATCACGAACGAAACCACCTATGATTATGTCATTGTTGGAGGTGGTACAACAGGCCTAGTCGTTGCAAACAGGTTGAGCGAAGACCAGAACAGTAAGTCGCTATCCGTCACAACATCATTTCATAGACGTCCATTCTGAAAGGTTTCACCGACAGAAACGGTCTTGGTTATCGAAAATGGCGCCCTCAGCAACAGCACCCTTTCTAGTATCCCCGGCAATTCAGGTGGCCTAAACCTCGCAGCCATGTATGACATATACAGCGCTCCAGTCCCAGCACTCGGTAATCAAACATTCTTGGTAACAGTCGGTAATGTCGTTGGTGGCGGCTCATTTGTAAATGGCATGCAATTCGATCGCGGCGCCGATGCCGACTACGACGCTTGGGCGGAGCTGGGAAACAAAGGCTGGGACTGGCAGGGTCTGAAACCATACTTCATGAAAAGCAATCACTTCGACGCACCTTCGAATGAGACTACCGAGGAATTTGGCATCAAGTACGATGCGAAGGCTTACGGAAATGGCCCGCTCAAAGTGTCTATTCCAGACTACCAATTTCCTGATATGAAGACTATATATCACTCGTGGGATGATGTTGACATACCTCATCCGCAGGAAGGTTTCTCGGAGCCTGTTGGTCGTTATTGGTCGCCAAATTCGATTGACAAAACTACGGCTACGCGCTCCACTGCACGTACAGCGTACTATGATCCTGTCGCATCACGAAAGAATCTCAAGCTATTGACAGAAACCCATGTCGACGAAATCACTTTCTCAAGAGATAGAGCTGGTGTCTTGAGAGCAACTGGTGTCAAGTACACGCCAAAGAGTACCAACGAGCAAGCCCAGGTTTTCGCAGCCAAAGAAGTGATTCTCGCCGCCGGGGGTGTATTCACACCACACCTGCTTATGTACTCTGGTATTGGACCAAAAGACGTACTTGAAGCCGCGGGTGTCAATGTAAAGAAGGTAAGCCAGACGAACCGTACTCTGTATACTTCAACCCTGACATTTGCATGCCCACAGGACCTCCCAGCGGTCGGCTCCAATTTCCAAGACCACATCGCCAGCTACATGAACTTCGACCTGCGAAATCTTAATGCCGAGAACATGGGCGCCCTCAACACCAACGCGACATTCAACCAGACAGCGTATGTTGAATACTCGGAATTTCGTACTGGCCCGTATTCGGCCGGTAAATCAAACGGCCTCATCTTCCTCGCCCTCCAACACTTCTCCCCATCCTTCAACACCACAGCCTCAAAACTCCTTTCCCAAATACCCACCCACTTCCTCCCAGAACGCTACTCAACCAACCCCCACCTCCTCGCTGGCTTCACCGCCCAACGCGCCATCCTCGCCACCCAACTCTCCCGCACTACCGCTGCCGTCGGCGAAATCGTCATTCAACCCTGGGGTCTCTCCGGCATCGTTAACAATAAACCCCTCTCCCGCGGCACTATCACACTAAACACTACGCATCCCGCTGCTTACCCAATCGTTCAATGGAACACCTTCCAGAACCCCGTCGACGCAGACATCATGGTAGCGCTCACGCGATTCAATCGCGCTCACTGGGCATCCTCACCCGCACTTTCTCGCTACAGCCCCGTTGAAACGAGCCCCGGGCCGCAGTATCAGACTGACGAGGAGATTATAGAGGGAAGTGTAAAGTCCGGGTCGTTGCAACCGTCGTTTGCACATCCGAGCGGCGGGTGCAGTATGATGCCTGAGGAGCTGGGGGGTTGTGTTAGTGACGAGTTGTTGGTGTATGGGGTGGCAGGGCTGAGTGTCGTGGATGCGAGTATGATACCGATGATTCCCGCAGCGCATTTGCAAGCAACTATGTATGCGGTTGCGGAGAAGGCGGCGGATTTGATAAAGAGGAGGGGGTAACGGGAGTTAGTTCGTGTGTTAAAACGAGTTTTGTAAACTTTGAAGTCGAGTTTGTGGAGTGTGTTTTTGCGCGGTGAGTATGTTGGGTATGTTCGGGGTATGCTGTGGATGCTTCTGGGGAAAAGGGAAGGAGAGCTAATAAGCTTAGCAAGAGTGCCTTGGAAAAGTAAGGTTCTGATCAAAGAAGATTCATCAGTGAGGCTTTGTGAGATGGACCTTGACGATTTGCAACAACTGTTCGTACCGGCACTCCTATCCCATAGCAAACCAGCAAATAAAAAAGCAAAACTTCTTAGACATCAACCCTCCTATTCTCCTGCATACCTCAGATACAAACACACTACAATGACGTCTTTGCACAACCCCACAGCATCATCAAGCCCGTATACTTCTAAGCGAGATATAGGACTCCATCACTCGATAAGGGGGGAGGGGGGTTTAGTAACACCAGCCCATCACACGCTCATCGCGCTACAAGTGAGCTGACACATACATGGCGATGTCGGCGACTTTCATAAGCCTTGCAGACTTTGCGTGGTGATTGGAGGGTCGCGATGCCTCTATTCTGTCAGTGGCGTTTGGGATTTAACCCTCAGGGCCCAGCCCCCCACAAAATGTGTCGTGACGAGATGCCATGTGCGTGGGAAGGTTGGAAATGAGTGGCGATTCCCTGGTGGGTAGGGCCAGAAACATGGTCGTAGGGGAGGGCGGGATGGAATAGGTTCAGCCTCGCGTAGAGGGGGGTGCGTGCGGGATCCAAGGGCGTTTTTTGGGTCATGTCGGTAGTTGTGTGTTTGGGCCGAGTGTAGTGCCGATGGCAATGTGCTTTGACGCTTTTGTGGTCTGAGTTGAGAGGTGTGGGATTGGTGTAGTGTTTATTTTAGGTTGCCCGATGAAAGATGGTAGTGCGATCGGGAGGAGTGGTGTGGTGATCGGAGGACCAGTGAGGTCGAGAGATTATTGCTCGTGTCTGTTTTGTTCGAAATGAACTGGAAATGTTTTTTCTGGGACTTGGGTAGTCCTGAACAGTGTTGATGGCGTTTTGTGGCTAGGCAATTGAAAGCTGGGTCGTCCTCTGGCGTTCTGATATGGAATGATTAAACGGAAAATGTAATATAGTTCATGACTGCAATCTCGATCAGCTTTAACATTTGGTAGTGAACCCATGTCCTTGAACAGTTGAAATACGCCGAGATGCAAAAGGGGTACGGGAAGATCTGGAAATGTGGAGGGCGTCCAAGGATATCCGACATCCAAAGCCAATTGGGAAGAGGAGTTTCATCATAGTAGCTGAAAACAGTGGGTCAAATTGTCTATCCAAATCTCAGTTGTCTGAGTAGATTCAGTGCTAACTGAGACAGGAGAAGATTCTGTACAGTTGTTGTTATTGTTGCTAGTGATGAGGGTTGGTAGCGGACTATTGAGGGCTGAAAAAAACACTCTCTCGCAACCACTGCAACGATGATCCCGATGCGAACACGATGCGTGCATGCAGGTCATTGGGAGAGATGGACCGCCTGTCATGAAGGATCAGTAGGCTTCCAACGGGCCAAGTGGGTAACGGCTGGCTGACGCGGTCATCGGTCCCAAGGGACAGGACAAGATGGGCCGCGGGGGCGGCATAGGTGGAGTGAGAGAGACAGGGAGGAGCATGGGACGTTGGGACGGATGGGCACTAGGACCAGGGTTTTTGTTCAACCACTTTTGTTGTGTGTGATGGTAGCTTACTTGCATCCCGTGCCGGGAGTGGGTAGCCATCCGATGCGTCCGAGTAGGCATACCCAGCCTTTGACAGTTACCTTGGAGGGAATAGCGTGCATAATGATTCCAGCAATTATCGTCACCTGAAGGCAAAGCCACGTTAAAATCGCCACCTATTATATCTTCATCCGCTATAATGGAATGTCATGACAGCTGTCAGAAGGGCCAAGTAATTCCGATTACCAGGACGGGGAGTAGAGTAGTTGAGATGCCCAGGCGAGTAGTTGCTGTTGGGCTGGAGCTGGAGCTGGAAGAGAATTTCTAAATAAGCTGAGCCTCGAGAGAGCGGATACGGGAAATTGGCGCTGTCCAGATTCCGCATCCGCATTTGAGCGCGTGTAAGAATGGGTCGTCACACATTGATGGGATGCGGTGAGGTTATTCGCTGGCGTACAGGCGAGAGCCTGGGATGGCCCTTGCATCTCGGCGGCCGATCCGAAAGACGCTTCGCCACAACGGGCAACGAGGCAAGGCAAGACCCTTTGAGCCCTCAACGACGACACGCGACAGGCGCGTGGTGGATGAGGGCAGACACTCAACGAGCGACGCCGGCTTGGTAGAAAGCGGCAGTCTAGATGACGCCGTCAGTCACCACAAGTATCGGCTTATATCGACGAGCCCAAATCAAGTTGTACAACGGCAACGTGCACAGACGCTTAGGCCCAGGTACTTTGCAGGTACCCCCGGCTTCTAGTGGCGATTGGCCAAACACTCATAGTTGCACTCAGCCACTAATGGACCGCAGCAACAAGATGCCTGGACCCAGACTGGGCCACTCCACCCTCAGCTTGCGTCTACTTGCTCGCTTCTCCACAGTAGTCTAAAGTACCAGCAAGTCACGGTGCGCGCTGCCCTCGAGGGCTGTGTTGAGGGCACCGGGACCCCTGCGGGCCAATCCGACACCAGTCCAAGCACCCGCAACGGAGCTGCCGTTGACGCCTACCAATAGTGCAGCGTATGCGAAGTTTTTCTGTGTATCCGTGTACTGTGCCCCCCAGTGAAGGCGAGTTCCACATGGAGTCGAGCCAATGTGCACGGCGCAGCTTGAGCGGACTGGTCCGAGTCCCTTTTGTCGCCCTCGAGGAGGGTTATATTCCTGTCCATTCCCAGTCCCGTGCATCTTGGACGCTGATGACGCTCGTTCCTCAGTCTGACCTATTATCCATCTCAAGTCCATCTACCTTGTTTGAAACTTTGCTTTGCTGCCCACAATGAGGTCTCCCCCGCCAGAGGTCCTGAAGACCTGGCCCAAGCCCAACTACATCGACCCCGTCACTAGAGGCCCGGGGTTGATGATTGTCGAGTTGACTCTGCTTCCGATTGCCATGATAGTCGTCTTCCTCAGGCTCTGGGTACGGATATCATGGTTGAAGAAGAGCTGGTATGACGACTATCTCATGATTGTTGCCATGATCTTCAGTATTGGTGCGTTCCTAACCCCCACCAGCTCGCATCAAGACCCATCATGACTGACTCATCATGCAGGTACTACCGTCATTGTCATCATGGCGTCTCAGCTGTACGGTTGGGACCGTCATGCCTGGGACCTGAAGCCACATGAAATGATGGTTGGCAGACAGGTACGACCATGGGTTGGCTCGTGGCAGGATAAGCTGATGCTAACCAAACACTGCAGGCGTCTATGGCAGGCCAAACATTATTTGTACTTGCATCATCGACTATTAAGATGTCGATTCTGGTATCGTACTTCCGCATCGCCCCTGAAAAGTCCATTTTCCGCAAGTTGGTGTGGGCGACGTTTGCTCTCGTCTTTGCCGCTTTCGTCGTCTTTCTGGTTGCCCTATGGGTACAGTGCATGTAAGTATGTCCAAAGAAAACAGGCCTTCTAGTGCTGACAACTGCAGTCCAATTTCGAGCTATTGGAAGCTGAATTCCGACCACCGTGACTGTATTCCCGAGGGACCCCCGCTTGTCGTACAAAGTGTCCTCAATGTCGTGACCGACTTCATGATCTACGCACTACCGATCCCCACTCTCTTCTCGCTATCACTTCCATGGAGTCAACGCCTCGGATTGGTCGTTCTCTTTTCCGTCGGTGGGCTTATTGTTGTTGCCAGCAGCTTCCGAGCCTACTGGGTCCATTACACACTGTTCCGAACATACGACGCAACCTGGGAAGGATACCAGATCTGGGTATGGACGGCCATTGAAACAAACGTCGGTGTTATTTGCGGATGCATCCCGGCGCTCAAGCCCCTACTTTTCCCGCATCGAGCGAGGCAACAGGGCTCAAGATACGCAAGCGGCTCGCAACACAGCAAGAAGAAGGAGAAGATTACACCCGTCATCGACCAGGTCGAGTTGGACACACGCAGGTTGACAGAGAACAACGACTCGCAGCCTGGGCTTGCTATCAGCACACACCCAGCCCACCACAGCACCTTCTCGGAGCGGCCGATGAGTGGCGACACAGACAAAAGTCGGTTCGAGATTGATATAGAGCAGCAAAAAGCCTACATGTACTGATCGCGAGGCGCAGTGCACATTACCTTTATTTAATATTCGCATACGTTGAGCGTGTGGCGTTGGGGTGCCGTTGAACTAGGGGTTTTCCTGGTGGGCCACTCGTACCCTCGACTTTCATTTTCATTTGTATTTTTCTTACCACCAATATCCTCACTTGGGAAAAACCAAGACTGGGCGGCTCTCTCGGACTCGACTTTTCTTTCTTTTCTTTTCTTTTCTTTTCTTTCATCTCTTGTCCTTGTTGTCTGGGCGGTCAACTGTGCATTACGATGCCAGTCTCTTCTTTTCGCGTCTCTTAACGAGGCGGTTAGTACTACGATAGCATGTAATGCCATCACGTCAGCCCATCAGGGCAACGACCTCTTTTTTTTCCACACTCATCTCGCGATCAGTTCCCTGTTCAGATGCAGACCAGTCGCAGCTTTGGTGTTGAACACGGTGCAGGAGGCGTGGGTATCAAGGTGCGGTTGGCTACCCGATCCCCCTTGGGTGTTCAGATTTAACCTGCATAGGGCATACGTACTCGTCTCGATTGACAACCTACATGCTACACACTGGATTGATTGCCCCAGGCTCAGACGAGCATGATGTGGACATGCGTGGATATGCTATTGAGGTGAGGAGCCGTCATGCCGTGGTAGCCGGGTTGGAGCATGGTGCGACGCCCTCTTTCTTTTCCTGGACTTTTGCTTTGAAGCAAGACCCTGAGCATATCTATTTATGTTTCAGCGGTGGATTGGTCCGTGGGCGAG